TAAAAAAAAATATTTGGGAAAAGCAGCATGATAAGAAATTCCATTTCATGAAACATTTAACAAAGCAACCAAAGTGGCAGATAAAATAAAGAGGAATGGAAAATGAGCAAGACATTCCAACACTTTCCAGGAAGATTGTGCCCCCAGTTTTGCATACCCCATTCCAGGTCTTTTTCCGCAGTCTTCCAGAGTTTTGTGTGAACCTCAATTCCCACGTATTTTTCATTAAGTATTTTGTTAAATGTTTCATGAAATGGAATTTCTTATCATGCTGCTTTTCCCAAATATTTTTTTTTAATTTTTAGAAAGCTCTGCTAATTACAATAAAGTAATCACCTTTAGGCATGCACTGTGAATTATAGCTCTCTTTTAGGAATCTAAAGTAAAGGTAAAGATTCCCCTTGCACATATGTGCTAGTTGTTCCTGACTATAGGGTGCAGTGCTCACCTCCATTTCAAATCCAAAGAGCCAAAACTGTCTGAAGATGTTTCTGTGGTCATGTGGCTGGCATGACTAAACAATCAAGGAACATGGAATGCTGTTACCTTCCCACCAAAGGTGGTTCCTGTTTTTCTACTTGCATTTTTATATGCTTTAAAACTGCTAGCTTGGCAGAAGCTAGGACAAGTAACGGGAGCTCACTCCCTTATGTGGCACTAGGGATTCAACAGCCGAGCTTCCAACCTCTCTGATTGACAAGCTCAGCATCTTAGCCACTCCACCACTGTGTCCCTCTATTTTAGAAAACTACATATACCCCCAAAAAATCAGCTAATATACCAGAATCTTGCAGGTCTGATTGTGAATGCTCCAACACTGGAGTTTTTAAAGAAGAGATTGGAAAGCCATTGGTCTGAAATGGTGCAGGGATCCCATGCAAAACCCTATCCTTTTGCAACTGAAATCTCTCCACAGAATCACAAAACGAGTTATCTATATTCTGGAGTAAAAAAAAAAACTGGGGCAGAGTAGGGATGAAATGAATATATCAAACCAATTGATCCTATTATTATTCCATATTATCATGGTTTCAACATCATTCACTTATTGGTTTCTAAACAGTTTGCTGTGGTTTCCTGCAGGTTCATCTTTTTCCAGGACCAGAGGACATCTCAAAATGCCTTCCCTTTCCTCTTCATGGATTCATTTGAGAAAGACTCCTGGGATAATTTCCATGAGAAATCATATTTTTCACTAGATGTTTTGAATTGGATGGAATTTGCTCTCCTCTTAATTTCCCAAGTCAAGTTCTGTTTTGAGAAGACCACAGCAAAGTATCAGTGAAAAAAAATCCCCCCATTTGGAGCAATACATTTGCTTAAAAATATAAAGATTCTCATATCAATCACTAAAAAGAATGGTTGAAGATTTGCTTCCAGTCATGTCGTTGCCTCTACTTATGGCAGTGCTATCTAAAAACCAAAATTCCAGAGCATAAGTCGAGGACTGCTTGCATCCAGACACTCTATATCATCATCTATTCTCAACTAACTGTCAGTACAATTCTGAACTTCATCTAATATTTATACAGCTCCCAGCAGGTTTTATGCAAAGCCAACAAGACTTTCACTTCCTATTTAAACTCTCCTTCTTCAGGTTCAACTCAAGGTGCAAATCTCATTCATTTTTCACAATGACACACCACTTCTTAATTCTCATCATACTGGCTTCCTTCTCTAGAGGTTTGTAATTTGGACCACGTTAAGTTTTTTTCCCCTAGCACTGAAGGGAATTTTACATCTTTACTATGGCTCTTACTTTCTAACAATCATCCAATTATGTTTTGTCTTTTCTCATTAGGTGGCCTCTCCCAGGTAACTCTGACCCAGTCAGATGCAGTGGTGAAGAAACCGGGAGAATCCCATAAATTGACTTGTGGTGTCACAGGATTCAATGTTAACAGCTACTGGATGGGTTGGATCAGACAGAAACCTGGCCATGGACTGGAATGGCTTGTTCTCTATTTGAATTCTGGTAGCAACTATTATTCCCCAACAATCCAAGGACGTTTTACTGCCTCCAA